AATAAATAAATAAATAGAAAATAAGGAATGACTAGCAATTACCTCTTTGGAGCCTGGAAAGAAAGAAAAAACTGTCAAACTCCAGTGTTTACAGTTTATGCTTCAAAAACCCTCATGCTGATGGAGATATTCCTTAGACTCTTAAACACATGACAAGTTGGATCCGTGATTGCATAGATGGAAAGACTCTACTCATTAAAGATATCACAGCCTAATTCAGGAAGAATTTTCCTCTCTCACCTTATTCAATAATGTGTGTGCACTTAAACTGCCAAAAAGTAAAAAAAAAATATTTAGTTGGATCACCTACTGAGTTTATGGCAGAATTTAGATCTGAACTGGCAACTTCCTGATTCACACTTCAGTCTCAGTCACTGCACAATACCAGCCTAATCCTGCAGTTTTCAGGATACCACATCTGCACATGTGAATTCCTCTACCAAACCCAGCAATCTTTACCACCCTGAGATTCTGTGATTTTTACATTATGGGCAATAATATTGACCTATCTGATGTTATTGTAAAGATAATACATGCAAAGCATTCTGAACACTCCAAATCATTAGATGTTGCTATTGCAACTATTTAAGAACCAGAAAATGCACAAAATGTTAACTGTAAACTATGATGATTTTATCGTATGTTCCAATGTGTGTGTATGTGTGTCTATTATTTTTGGAAGTTTAGCTGAATTAAAAACCCATTAGATCAGATTCAGACAGACATGAATTCAATAAGATTCCACTAGTACTCGAAGGAAGAGATATGGAGACAATATTGTCCCTGTACAATGTGGAGCACTGTTATACATACTGTTCCAGAGAATTGGCGGACATTCCAGAACAGATTGGGACGTGGTCCTGGTGGCAGTGGAAGGAAAGAGGAATCAGAGAAGTTTGCCCCCATTCCTTCTTCCAGACAGAGGCCTCTGTTTCCATTACCTCTGAAAAGGAAGGTGGTTTTCTACTCATAGACGAGCCTGCATTATCTTTAGAGTCTGATATTTGTTTAGTGGAAATATTTTGTTTAATTATCGGATATTATTTAATGTAATTGCTATTTAGATTTTTACCAAAGCAAATGTCTCTGAGAATCATCTTGCCTAGAATGAAGACAATTATATTACCTTGTAAAACAGCAGAATAAAGTTGATGGCAAAGGCAACAAAGAGTGCAAGAAATCGTAAATTGTAGAAATTTCTGGCCAAACAGTGCTGCAAAAAGAAATAATATCAATTCTTAAAGGAACAATCAGAATACAAGAATGAACAAATAGATTTGAGAAGGAAAAATTAAAATACTGTCTCAAATTGCAGATGCTAGACAATCAATTAAGCTTAATTTGAGATTTCCTTTTCTCTTATGTTTTTATTTTTTAGTTATTTATAAGGCTTATATACCATCCCAATTTGAAGAGACCCTTGCCCAGCAGGCCGAGGCAAAGAGGAAGTCACAAAAGCAGCAAAACCAGGGAGCCAGACAGGGGACAGAATGGATTTGTCTTCAGTGTGGAAGGGACTGTCACTCTCGAATTGGCCTTCTCAGCCACACTAGGCACTGTTCCAAGCCCTCCATACCGAGCACGGTACCATAGTCTTTCGAGACTGAAGGATGCCTAACTAACTATATACCATCCAACTCAATGAAATCACTATCTGGAGTGGTTTACATGAAATAAAACAAACCATACTACCAAATCTTAAAATAAACAAAGAGAATACCCTCACTAACCTAATCAAATGATATTAAAAGAGAAAAGAATAAAAAAAAACCACATTGACCCACAGCTGATCCTTGTCATTAATAGCTAGAACCAAATTACAGAACCATAACAGAATAAACAAATATATAATATGCCCAAATAATAAGTAACAAATAATAAATTATCATCAATCCTAAACAACAGATATGAGTAATAAAAAAATTAACATTAAATGTTGCCTCCCTAAGTAATCCGGTCTTTCATAGTCTGCTGAAAGACTGTAGGAAGGGACCCTGTCTAATCTCTACAGGGAGTTTGTTCCACAGCAAGGGTACCATCAATGAAAATGCCTGTTCCCTCTTCTTTCCTTCCCTCAGGATGGGCACTTTCAGCAATGAGGCCTGAGATGAATGGTCTGACCAGGCAGATATTTTTAGGGAGAGGCGCTCTGACAGGTGTGTTTGATTTCTATTACAAATCCATTTTCCATAGCCTCAAAAGAACTCTCTACGTTCCTCAGGATGAAAACATATATGTACATATTCTTCTAATCTTTAGTTAAGAAATAAAGGTTCAACATACCAGCATTTTTGTCTGATAAACTTCTAGTACTTTAAAAAAATTAGCCATAACTGCAACAGGTCTCTCTATTTTTTGTCCATGTCTTCGTTTCCTTTTCCTGGGCTCTTCAACTTCCAGCTGTTCAAAGTATACATCATCCTTTATTTTATCTTGTTTCTCACCATCCTCCATGCTACAGGAAATGATACCAGTTACTAACCAGAGACAATTTTCATACTGGCCACCAGTAAGATATGGGCAGTTTGACAACAAACAGAACTTTATTCTGGCACATAAAGGATGCATGTATATAGACAAAACATGCGTGATCAGCCTAGCATAAATATGTCTCCAAAATAAACTGGGCAAATGACATAATGTGTTAAGTGATGCATATTGGGACAAAAGATACTGACTTCACATATATACTAATGGTGTCTGAACTGGTGATGATAACAGGGAAAAGAACTTTACACGATGGTTAATAAAATAAAAATAACAAACAGGTATAAAAAGGCAAATTCCATATGTCATTAGATTAGGAAACAGAAATAAAATGGTGAGTGTTGTAATGCCCTTATAGAAATCTGTGGTGTGGCCTCATTTGGAACATTGTATAACATTTGAATCCCCATTTCTCAAAAAAAAAGTTGCAGAACTGAAAAGGATGCAGAAAATAATGTCTGCTTAGGCCTTTTTAGCTAAGAAAAGACAAAACTGTAAAAGTTAAATGGCTGAGATTCATAAAATTATATAAAGCACTGAGAAGGTAGACAGAACTAAGATTTTCTCCTTCCCTGACATTACGGTTTGGGACCATCCAATGCGATCAATTAGCAACCAACTTAAGATAGAAGCACTACTTCACATAATGAATAATGTATGGAATTTCTGTAATAAAATTGAATACCCACTCATTTACACAGCCTTAAAAGGACTTAAACAAATTAATAGAAGATATGTTTACTGATTATTATTAGCTATAGGAGTTACATTAAAACAAGGGTAACTATTTTGGTTCAAGAGGGTAAAGTAAAATCTAAAATCCACAGAAAAGAACAACTTTATTAAGACTATCCAGAATTCCACAAGAGTGTGCAAACATCTGAGGCTAGATAGTACAATGAATTTGAAGTCTAGCATTTTGGCCAGATATGGTACCCATCAGTTCTGCAATTCAACTCAGTGCCAAAATGAGATTTTTCCCCTTGTTCCTAACATGGGGACCCTACATGGATAGAGCAAACCTCCTCTCTTCAGATTGCTACTTTCACCTGATAAATGCTACAATGGAGGGAATGGAGCTAATGCTGTTCCCCTATTATTTGTGGTGGACACAAGCTCCAAAGACAACTGAATAGGGCTTTGCACATGCTTGCATTTATATCCAGTGTACTATTTTTGCAGCACCAATACCAGAAAAAAAAAATCTTGATTTATGTGCTTCAATAATATTGTGCCAGAAACTTATTTTTCAGTTGGATGTGTTCTGTTGTATATTAAAGTCGTTCCTGATTCTGTTTGAATCCTATCCTTAATTTCAGTTCACATATTTATGCTGACATGTAGGCTTCACAAGTACTCATTGGTGGTGACTGATGGGGGAATGGTTTTTCATCTTGTGTATTCTCCCCACATATTTAATGTGTCCTTAACTCCATGCAGATATAAATGTACTATTATCTCCCCCACATCACCTACTGAACAATATACCATTTAAATATGGATGTATATGGCTGATAGCTATGTAAACAAACATCTTTGTGGCAAGGATTATGGAAGACCATTTAAAAATTCCTATTGAATCAGACCAAAGGGTCATCTGGTTTCATACATAAGGCCAATAAAGTGCTTCCAGGAATCCTACAAGAAAGACATGATACATAGCATTTTCTGACTATGCTCATCAACTTGTGTTCAGTGGCATATTGCTTCTGAACATAGAGTTTCCTGCTCACATGAAGGAGACTCTACTTGGATAGAACAGCCTCCCCTTCTTCATAGTATCAATATAAAAATAACAATCAAGGGTGGGAGTCCTGCCCTCATGTGGGGAGCACACAGCTGAAGGACTTTAGTGAGATGATAAAAGGGAGCCTCTCTGTCCCCTCCTCTCCCTGGCTGGCTCCACGGATCTTAAAATGCTATTTAGAAGACTGGAATCCTAGCCAGAATGGGATGACCTATGGTACACTAATGATCCTCAAAGTGGGTTGGATGCACGTATTCCACTGGAAGATCCCTTCTAGCAGCAGAAGACAGATTCTCTGGCTATACATATGGAATTAAAATTCTTTGCCTTTTATACAGATATTGAAAAATTCAGCCAAAGAAAACTTTGTGAAAGGTGAAGGTGGAAAATGTGAAAACATTCTTTTGTGTAAGATTAAAGAAATTTCATCCAGACATAGCCATGTCTACAGTATATGCACTAAAATCAGAGACACAAATAATGTGCAACTAATTAAAGACCCGTTGCCTATATCCTCTAAGCATGATTAAATTTAGAGCTACTCCAATGAAAATGAAACAAAAGGTTAAAAATGACAGACTGGGAGATTATCTTTGCCTCTGTAGTCTCGGAGCCACCACTCAGGAATATCCCCAGCCTTTGCACATTTGAATGGCTCAAGAGCAAGGTGAAAATTGTTGGATGGACCAGTTTTTAAAAGCCTCTAGATAAATCTACTTGGAATCACAAAATGTCAATATATTTTATTTTTTTAAAATAATATTCAGTTTAGAAAAGGTAGGCTGAGCTAGTAACTACTGCTATGGTTTCATATAATGAAGGAAATGGGCTTTGTTACTGATTTCAACAAGCTAAATTTCATAAACAATTTCTTTTGTTTGTATGTTTCAGCCTTGAAAACACTGAAACCCCAGCTTAAATGTTATCCCATTCTTCCAGAATGTACCTCTTTCTCATCCTCCAATTTTTTCAGGGTCTCAGGGCCAAACGTAGAACTCAGTTCTCATGAGATCAAAGTCAAGTGTACTTATTGTTGTTGTTTAGTCGTTAAGTCGTGTCCGACTCTTCGTGACCCCATGGACTAGAGCATGCCAGGCCCTCCTGTCTTCCACTGCCTCCCAGAGTTTGGTCAAATTCATGTTAGTAGCTTCAATGACACTGTCCAACCATCTCAATCTCTGTCGTCCCCTTCTCCTCCTGCCTTCACACGTTCCTATTATGAAGGTCTTTTCCAGGGAGTCTTCTCTTCTCATGAGATGGCCAAAGACAGATTAGCTTCAGGATCTGTCCTTCCAGTGAGTACTTATTACATTGATTATTTAAGGCAAAAGCTATATAAATTTCTTTTGCAGTATTTCAGGGCAAACCTCCTTAGATATCTAGCCAGAAGGGTATAAGTGAGTAATATCTGATCATTGTCACCAATTTTCTTTCTGTCAGTAGACTCATACCATTATAAGATTCATTCAGATGTTTATAGCACATGAATGTAACTTGTACTGCTATTCCATGCCCCATACTCTTCAAATCCAGAGGGTATAGGAGACTAAAATATAAAGGGAATAGACATTTCTGTAATAGCTGAAAGGGCACTAATGCTCTGAAAATGCCAGTTTTATAAAAAGAAGAACATCATGAAAAAATTACAGAAACTTTCCATCTTTAAACATGGTACAAATTGATCAGCTCTCATTCTCCCCTTGCCTTTTAAAAATTGGTACTAAATGCTTGCAATCATGGAAGTGAAAACTGGAATATCTGAGAAGACCGCAATCTACTTTTTCTGGTGCAGTCCAATTTTTTAAAAGAAGCTTTGTGTTAATTTCAGGATTTGTAGGAGGCTTTAAAATTCATAGCGTGTTAGCGATACGTCTGATGTTCCTTCACCTAGGTACACTTAAACATTAAAACAATTACTTCAAGGATATATAGCTAAATATAGCTTACTCAGCTTTCTCAGATTCTGTTCTTGTCTCCGATTCATCATCCTTTGCAATTTCACCTGTCTGAAAAATGTTGAAAGTGCACTACATTTTAATTTTATGCAGAACTAGACATATTTCTTTCAATATACTTGTAAAATGTTACAAACAGAACATTAAGTGAAAGCTTGTCCTAAACTAGCTAGCATACAAACTAGCTATACTAGTAAAAACTACAGTCTATCAAATTTCTAATTCAGTCTTGGAAATCTGGGCCTTCATCTGTATAATTAAAATTCTAAAATAGTAACACATTGGAAAAGATGTTTAAAAAGTGGGAGCATATGATCCATTTATAGAAGTAAAGTTCTGTATTAAGTAAAGCCTTTATTGGATCATGAGAGACACTAAGAGTTACTGAGGATCAGGAGACTTATTAAAGCAACTAAATTACAGAGGTTCTAAGTTATTTTTTAGATCTCATATGAAACTTTTATGCAAAGATGGTATAAAATTTAGAGTCCAAGCAAAAAGTAGAAAATGGTTGCCTTTGCGAATTACAAAAAGCAGAAAACTTGACTCAAATGAGATGGATGACTCAGTCTGATTGCCATGAAATTTTTTTAAAAAAAGAGTTTTAAATTCCAAACGAGACATAAATAACAAAGGTAACAATTTACAGGCTCATATTCCAGTGAAGAAGGAACGCGGGTGGCGCTGTGGGTTAAACCGTGGAGCCACTGGGCTGTCAATTGAAAGGTCGGCAGTTCGAATCCATGTAACAGGGTGAGCTCCTGTTCCTTGTCCCATCTCCTGTCAACCTAGCAGTTCGAAAGCATGCAAATACAGGTAGATGAATAGGTACCACCTTGGTGGGAAGGTAACGGTGTTCCATAACTGGCATGACTAGACGTATGACAATGGAAAGTTTCTATGGACAAACGCCAGTTCTTCAGCTTGCAAACAGGGATGAGCACCAGCGCCTAGAATCATATACGACTGGACTTAATAATTGTAAATGGGAAACTTTACTGTTACCCATCTCAGTGAAGACAGAGGCTTGACTGAGCCCTGTAGAGATATGGCCAGTTTTTGGATTATTTGCTCAAATTCTGTTTTACATGATTGTTGCCTTATGAAGAGTTCCACATAATTCAAAAACATACCCTATTTTTAATGATCCAGTGAAGGTATTGTCCAATCCAGAACTTTATTTATTCAGAAAAATTCTACCATGTCTTTTAACTTGGAAGCCATCAAATGTGGTTTTAAATGTAATTAAAACTACAAAGCATCAGTAATTAAGTCTATGCAACAGAGTTAAGCCAAGTAACCGAAGTACAACTTTAAGCTACAATCTCATGCCAATTGTATCCATACAAATATGGGAGGAAGCCCCTTTAGTTTTGTGGGTTGATTTTTTCAGTAAACAAACATATAATTTTATTCTCGAAGGCTTTCACGGCGAGGATCTGATGGTTGTTGCGCGTTTTTCAGGCTCTTTTATTTTATTTATTAGATTTCTACTCAGGGTGGGTTCCAGTAAACATTATAAACTAAAACAATTAAAACAATTCAAAATAATAATGTTAATAATGCTCAAGATGGGGAAACAGAAAATTATAAAGTCAAGTATTGACAGGAGGGAAGGCCTGCCTGAAGAGCCAAGTTTTCAATTGGCTCTTAAAAACACCCAGCGAGGGAGCCAGGCGGATCACTGATGGGAGGTTATTCCAGAGCAGAGGGGCTACTGCCGAGAAGGCCTGGTTTCTTGTTCTTTCTTTCCGGGCCTCTCTCGGCACTAGGCCCCTCAACTGTCCCTCCTGGCTATGGTGAGTGATTTGGGTAGGTCTAGGTATGAGAAGGCGATCTGCCAGGTATCGAGGTCCTACACTGTTTAGGGCTTTATAAGTCATCATCACACTTTGAAGTCAATGCGGAAGCAAATGGGCAGACAATGCAAGGTAGCCAGAGTGGGAGAGAAATGCTGGTATTTTCTCACCCCACTAAGAAGTCTGGCCACCACATTCTGCACCATTTGAAGCTTCCACATCAATCTCAAAGGTAGCCCCATGTAGTGCGCATTACAGTGGTCTAATCTCAAGATTACAAGCCTGTGGATGAGAGTGGTGAGAGCCCCGCCATCAAGATAGGATCGCAGCTGGGCAATCTGCCACAGATGGAAATAGGTGGAGTGGGCCATGGACGCCACCTGGGTGTCCATGGTAAGCTCTGGGTCCAGATGTATCCCCAAGCTGCGCACCACACTCTTTGCGGTGAGAGTCAACCCCCTAAAAGAGAGGGAGTTTCCCAAACTGCCAATGGAGGGTCCACCCACCTCAATATCTCAATCTTGTCCAGGTTCAACCTAAGCCCATTCAGCTGTATCCATTGCAGCACAGCCTCCAGACAGCACTGAAGGGACAGAACAGCATCCACTGAGGTAGGCGAAAGGGAGATGTAGAGCTGGGTGTCATCAGCATACTGATGGCACAAAGCCCCACACCCCCAATGACCCCACCCAGTGGCCTCATATAGATGTTAAATAGCATTGGGGAGATGATCAACCCCTGCGGAACCCCACAACGGAGACTCGATGGGATCAAAACATACTCTCTGGGGACGGTCCTCCAAGAAGGATCAGAGCCAGGTGAACGCCAGGCCACCGATTCCCAGCTCGGAGAGCCTCCCCAGGAGGATACCATGGTCGGCAGTACCGAAGGCGGCTGAGATATCAAGGAGGACCAACAAGGACATTTTGCGCTGGTCAGCCACCCTCAACAGATCATCTAACAATGTGACCAGTGCCGTTTTTGTGCCATGGCGTGGTCTGAAGCCTGACTGGAACAGATCCAGGTCATTGGTTTCATTTAAGAGCCTGAATCTGATCAGCCACCACCTTCTCCACCACTTTGCTAAAGAAAGAAACATTGGCAACAGGCCTGTAATTGTCAATATCATCTGCCACCAAATTTGGTTTCTTCCTGATGGGCCTAATGAATGTCTCCTTGAGGGCAAGGGGAACCTTGCCCTCCTGGAGAGACCCATTAATTATTCCGTTGTTATAGGCCTGGCTGCTTTGATTAGCCAGGCCGGGAAAGGGTAAGGGAGGAAGTGGTGGCCTGACAGGGGTCAAGTGCTTTGTCCACCATGTCTGGCATCACAGGCTGAAAGAATACAAATCTCACCAGGCAGGATGGAACGCTAGACATCTCTGCTTGATCCACTGTTTTTAAAAAAGGAGAGAGATCCTGGCAGATGGCCTTCACTTCAGATTTTTAAAATGCTGCAAATTGGTCAGGTGAGAGGAGGCCTGTCACCTAGACCAACTCTGGATAGATTGCGAACTATACAGAAGAGTTCCGCCTGCTGATTTGAAGCTTCACTTATCCAGTTAGCAAAGGGTGATCGTCTAGCGGCCTATACCTTAGCAAGGTAGCAGTTCATCACGATCCTGACAGCTTTATTATAAACCATCGGTTTCTGTCTCTATTTGCACTCTAGCCGTCTCCTGTTTCGCTTCATAGCTCACAGTTCCTGATTAAACCAGGGTCCTGGCCAAGCTCTGTGCCTGAGAGGTTGTTTAGGAGCGATCATGTCTACAACCCTGGTGGCGGCAACAAGCCAGCTATCAACCAGAGCCTAGACAGGAGCACCAAACAGATCAGCTGGAATCCCTCTCATGGCATCCTGGAATCATAATGGATCCAGTAGCCTTCAAGGGTGGATGATTAAAGTAGGTCCCTGCTCCCTGGGGGGGGGGGGGAAGCCACTGAGAGGTTACATTTTATTAGGTGGTGATCTGACCATGACAAGGGAACTGAGACAAGATCAATCACCATCAGACAACACTCGCTCCGCTCAGTGGAGAACACCAGGTCTAGCTTATGACCGCCCACGTGGGTGGGGTCGTTAACATGTTGGGACATGTCCAAGGAAGCCATGGTTTCCAAGAACTCAAGAGCTGGACTGGCAATCTCTGCCTCCACATGGACGTTGAAGTCACCCAGGACCAGAAGCCACGGGGACTCCAACAGTGCCACGGAGACAAAGTCCACCAGCTCTGGGAAGGAGGTGACTGGGTCACGGGGAGTGCAGTAACCCAGCAAGATCCCAATACCATCCTTGGCCCCAATCAACATGTGGAGAGCATCCAGACCCGGCTTCAGCACCGAAGAGTGCCTAATAACCTCCAAGGTATTTCTATAAACAATGGCTACTTCCCCCTCCAGTATACCCTGGTGCTGGACTGCATAACCAGGAGGACAGGCAAGGGTTGGAGGAACTCCCCATTCCCCACCCATCCAAGTTTTGGTTATGCATGCCAGGTCTGCATCCTCATCCAGAATAAGATCTTGTATAATCTGGGACTTATTGGACACAGACCTGGTGTTCAACAGCGCCAGTTTTAGAGTGGAGGGCCAGCTGATCTGGCTACCTCGAGACTGGCAGTTGGTCACAGTGCCAGAACAGTGAACAGCCTTCAAACATCTGTTCACTGTTCTTCTAAAATGAGTAGGCACTGTGCCAACACCATATCTCCCTCTACCCATAATCACACTGATGTTAGAGCCCCGCTGGGGGGGTGAGAAAGCCTTCCACTCCATGACAAGAAAGAAGAAAAACAAAATCTACTAAATTAATACAGTGAACAATAAAAAGAGGATTAACAAAATAAATTCAACATTAAACAATAATACAAGCTCAAATAATTATCAATTATCAGATTAATCAAATAATTAAATTAAACAGTATATCAAATTAACAATTTAAATAAAATTAAATAATGGTAACATCCAAAATAAGAAATTAAGCTTGGGCAAAATTTTCATTGCGCTGACAGAGTTCTGACTCCTGTCCTCTGAAGATGCTGGCCACAGAGACTGGCGAAACGTTAGGAAGAACAACCTTCAGAACACGGCCAAAGAGCCTGAAAAACACACAACAACCAAACATATAATTGTCCTATAGAAGAGTAGCACCAACATAAAAAAAGAAGAAATGGCTAATTTTTTTAGTTGATATTATCTTAATACTTTAAAGCTAATAATAATGAAATAAGATCCATTTGTTATGGGAGAGAATTGCATTGCTAATTCATCTGACTTCCAAAACTTGGAGGTACTTGGAAAAGGAGTAAGGATCTCAAACTAAAGGTAGATTTTCCACCTAGCTGTGATCCCCCCAATTAAATGCAACCTTCCCTGTTTCTATTACAATTAACAGCTTCCATGTAGTGCATTTTAAAAGATTTTAATATATAGCTTACTATGGCCCACTCACAATTTCACTTTAAACCAGTTTGACGAAGGAACTGGTTTACAAATAATTTGAAATAAATCAGTAATGATGTTGTTCAATTGTAATAATGAGGAGAAAGCATGATTAAGGAAAAATGATCTTTAGATAATAAAAATATTAAATATTTAGGAAGAAACCTTACAAAACATTTACAGGATTTAAAAACAAATATCTTTCATAAATTGATAGCAGAATTTAAAAATAAATTTAAGGAATACAGGAAGATTAGACTGTCTTGATTTGGTCAAATTGTGTTGTGAAAAATGAAAATTTTGCCCAAGATTAATTTCTTATTTTGGATGTTACCATGATCTATAAGGGAGGCAGAAATAAAAGAATGGCAAAATGTGATAAATAACTTGCAATGGTGGTAGAAGAGCCAGTATATATAAAAAATTATGGCGTCAGCCACAAAAGAGAATGAGGGCTGGGTCCTCTTAATATGAAGTTTTATTATTTAGCTACTCAATTAAGATTTATTCCAGATATTATCTATTCAGATACTTTGATTTGGTTTAACTTTGAAACACAAGAATTAAGGAGCAATACAGAAAAAACAGTAAGAATTATATAAAACTGCCCAGAGACCTTCGGGTAGTGTG